CGCCGCTGCGTCCAGGCGGACGCTGGCCGGCTGGCTGGCCTGGCTGAATAAACCGGTCCACGTCTACGGGCGGATTTGGGACAAAGTATTTCCCCCCAAAAAAGTGTGTATATATACAAATAAATAAATATGTTTTTATATAAAAAAAAAAAAAAAAAAGGAGGGTAAGGAGGTGAGAATCCGAAAAAAAAAAGTGGAACGGAACGGAGAAAATATAAAAATAAAAAAAAAAAAGAAAAAAAAAAAAAAAAAAAAAAAGAAAAAAAAAAAAAAATATAAACAGAGAAAAAGAAAAAAAAAAAAAATAAAAAAAAAAAGAACAAAATAAAAAAATAAAAAAAAAAAAAAAAAAAAAAAAAAAAAAAAAAAAAAAAAGAAAAACAAAAAAAAAAAATAAAAAAAACGATAAAAAAAAAAAAAGAAAAAATAAAAAGAAAAAAAAAAAAAAAAAAAATAGTAAAAAAAGAAAAAAAGAAAAAAAAAAAATAAAAAAAAAAAAAAAAAAAAGAAAAAAAAGAAACAATAAAAAAAAAAAAAAAGAAAAAAAAGAGGAAAGAAAGAAAAAAAGATAATGAAAAAGAAAAAAAGAAAACACAAAAAAAGAAAAAACTATTAAAAAAAAAAAAACAAAAGGAACAAAAAAGAAAAAAGAGAGAACAAAACAACGGAGAGCCCCCCTACCGGGAAATCGGTTTCGGTTTCGTGTTCGTGCGTGCCGTGCGTGCGGGCGAGGCGAAGCTGCGTGGGCGGGCGAGAAGAAAGTCTCCTGTAGCTGAGGCGCGGCCGGACCAAATGATTCCTCACCGGGGCCCTCTGGCGCGCGGTGTCCCGCCGGTGTCCAGCCTCCGGACCAAATGATTCCTCACCGGGGCCCGGTGGCGCGCGGTGTCCCGCCGGTGTCCCGCCGGTGTCCCGTCGGTGTCCCGATGATGATGGTGATGATGATGATGATGTTGATGATGATGTTGGCGATGCTGATGATGATGATGATAATGGTGATGGTGGTGATGATGATGGTGTCTCGATGATGATGATGATGTTGATGATGATGTCGCTGGCGATCATGATGGTGTCCCGATGATGATGATTTTGATGAGGTTGATGATGTTGTGCATGATGATGTGATGAGATGATGGTGATGATCATGATGATGAAGATGATGATAATGATGATGGTGTCCCGGTGATGATGATGATGAGGTTGATGATGCTGTTAATGATGATGATGGTGATGATGATGGTGTCCCGATGATGATGATGATGATGATGATGATGATGATGATGATGATGACGATGATGGTGTCCCGATGATGGTGATGATAATGCTGATGATGATGTTGATAATGAGGATGATGATGAGGTGATAATAGTGATGTTGATGATGGTGGCCCGATGATGATGATACTGATGTTGACGATGATGATGATGGTGTCCCGATGATGATGATGATGATGATGATGATGATGATGATGATGCTGATGTTGATGATGATGTTGATGATGATGGTGTCCCGATGATGATGATGATGTTGATGCTGTTGTTCATGATGATGATGAGATGACGATGATGGTGTTCCGATGATAATGGTGTCCCGATGATGATGATGATGATGATGATGATGATGATGATGATGATGATAATGTTGATGATGATGATGATGACGATGATTGTGTCCCGATGGTGATGATGATGATGGTGGTGATGATGGTGATGTTGATGATGATGGTGATGAGGTGATGAGGATGATGGTGATGATGATGATGACGATGATGATGCTGTCCCGATGATGGCGATTATGCTGATGTTGATGATGGTGTCCCAATGATGATGATGACGATGATGATGATGAGGATATTGATGACGTTGATTACGATGATGTTGATGATGATGATGACGATGATTGTGAGATCGATTGTGATATCGAGAGTGAGATCGATAGTGAGACCGAATGTGAGATCGATTGTGAGATCAATAGTGAGATCGATAGTGAGATCGATAGTGAGATCGATTGTGAGATCGATCGAATGAAATAGATCGAGTGAGATCGATTGTGAGATCGATCGAGTGAGATCGATCGAGAGAGACCGATAGTGAGATCGATAGTGAGATCGATAGTTAGACCGATCGAGTGAGACGTTGGTTCCTCCCCCCCCGAACCTCCTTATCACCCGAAGGGTGGTCGTATAGGTGTGTATATATAGAGATATTCAAACATTGTCGAAAATTATCGAAAATCGTCCCCATATTGTTGGGGGGCTATTTTTGAATACTACTCCTGTAGAGGAACGTGCCCGACCTTCCCCAGGGCTGGTTTCCCCGACGAGTGGCGGCGTGGCCCCCCCCCCTATTCTCGGTGGCCTCTGGGCCACAGCTCGGGCTCACGGCGGCCGCTCTGGACGCCTCGGGCACCCTCGGAACGCTCCCTGCGAGGCGCAGCTGTGATGTTTCATCTTCGGGGGTCCTTGTCTGTCCCGTCGAGGCCCTATCCATGTCGAATCCATGTCGGACTCGTCGGATCCGTGTCGAATCCATGTCGAATCCGCGTCGAGTCCGCGCCAAATCCGCGTCGAGGCCGCATCGAGCCCGCGTCGGGCACAAGAAAAGACACCAATTTGGGGGACAAGCGAGGTCCCGCGAAGATGCAGCTCAACAGCTGCTGAAGAGCACCCCCGAAGCGAGGAGACCCCCAAGACCCCACGAAAGCGGACAGAATACGCCGGGCCCCGAGGTCTGCCGTCGCGAAGTTCCCCCCCAGACGTGCGACGTCCTGATTTTTGTCCAGGACGGCGTCCCTGGAAGTTCCGACCCTTTCCCCGGGACCGGTTTTTTGTTCTGAGCCGCTTCTTGACGGTCCCGAGGCCCGGCGAGGGCCCCCTGGAGCCGAAAATGGCCAAAAACCTCCCGTCCTGATTTTTTTTACGATGCGATCATGTCTGGGACCGCACCGCCCGTCCTGCAGTCAGCGCCTCGAAGCTCGCGGCCAGCCGCTGGGCCGCCGACCCTGGGGCCGCGCCGGGGGCCAGGTTCAGCAGGACGTCGCGGGAGTCGGACACGAGGACCAGCGCACGCCTGGGGGAGGCAGGGACGGAGACAGGGAGGAGGGAGGGAGGGAGAGAGGGAGGGAAGGAGGAAAGGAGGGAGAGAGGGAAGGAGAGGGAGGGAGGGAGGAGTGAGGAGGAGGAGGAGGAGGAGGAGGAGGAGATGGGGGGGGAGGAGTGAGGAGTGACGAGTGAGGAGCGAGGATTCAGGAGCGAGGAATGGAGGAGGAGGACGAAGGAGGGATGAGGGAGGAGGGAGGAGGGAGAAATACAAAGCGAGGGCGGAAGAGCGAGGAGGGACGAGGGACGAGGACTGGTCTGGGCTGGGTCTGGTTTCGGGGCTGGCTCCTCATTTCTCCAACGGCCGACGCCCCGTTGCGGGGACCCTGCCTCGAGACCTGGAGGCCCTCGAGAGGCCCAAGCTTAGGTCGGGCATGTCCTCCTACAGGCGGATTTCGGACGAGAAATGAGGCATTGTCAGAAATCCTCAGACATGATCAGAAATTAATCAAAACATCATCCCCAGACTATTGCTTCCAATGTTTGAACATTCCTCCTGTCGGGAGACATGCCCGACTTAACTCGAGACCTGGAGGCCCTCGATTTGGACGCCCGAAACGGGTACGGAAAAAATGGGTACAATGCCCAACAACAACTGTTGTCCCAAACCAAAAGCGGTCGCTGTTGGGCAGGCGGCCTTCTGTCTCAAATGGACACAGGCCGCGGCGGCGCGGACAGCGAGTCCTGTCCAAATTGAACAGGAACTGCTGTTAGGCATCGTACCCATCATTTCCGTACCCATTTCGTTCGTGCCGACTCGAGAGGCCCACGCTGATGCAGCCACGAGTCCCGGCCTTGAAGAAACATCCTCCCCTGTGGTCGCGGCCCCGGCGAGCGCGCAGGCCGGTCGCACAGCCCAGGGTCACTTGGGCGGCGAGTCCAACACGGCAAGAGGCTAGGACGATAGGGAGCCCGCCAAGGACGTACGCGCCCAACGACACGTCGTTCACTTCTAACCGTGCTCATTTCCAATTGTGCTCGTTCCTAATTGTTCCTGGCCCCCTACGGTCGGACTTGATTGGAGAGGACACGCGAGAGGACACAAGACCCTTCCGAGGGCCACGTTGCCACAGAAATGCAGGTGGCATGGGTCGCAAGACACAGGACACGAGGGTACCCTTGATCTGGCAGGGTCGACCTACTAATCCAGGCCGCCTGTAGTGGCCAGGAAGAGGCCCAGGATGGAACGATCAGAACTGAAAGGATCTTTTGGCCCCCCCAGAGAATCGAAGAACTTTCGAATGATTGGACATGAACAACGTGTACATGAGCACCGCCCCTCGGTCCGCGAGACTGGCCGCGCGGCACGAACACTCGCGCAGTGCGCACTCTCGGCACCAGCGTGGATCCACGTACGTGCACATCCGGCTCCCGCTCCTGGCAACAATGAAGGGGCCCTGGGACACACAAATAAATACACACAAATAGCAGGATTCCCCATATTTTCTCATAGTTTCTTGGTTTTTGTCTTCCCCCCCACTTCCCATATTTTCCCTGACTTTCCTAGGAGTCGACACTACTGGTGTCTGTGGCTTTTCCGCTCCAAACCAGGACAGGCAACCGCTAGCGAAGAGAGAGCGGCCGCTCGGGACACGAAGGCCTCCGGGAGCGCCTCCGACGGGCCATCGCACGTCCGAGCAGCATGCGGGGAGAAGGTGAGACAAGAAGATGAAATAGAAGCGCCACGCTGCTGTGTTCGGGCCTGTCCCCTACGGGATTATGGCGAAAAATGAGAATTACCCAAAAAATAACCCAAACTGCTCAAACATGGGAAATCAAAAAAAAAAAAAAAAATCCCCTGACTATGTTGTGACTACTTTTGCATATTCCCCCTCTAGAGGGACAGGCCCGACTTACAGCAAGCGGGGAAGGAGAGGGCGAAACAGAGAAGAGGAGAACAGAA